TTTTTTTTTTTTTTTGAGACGGAGTCTCGCTCTGTTGCCCAGGCTGGAGTGCAGTGGCCGGATCTCAGCTCACTGCAAGCTCCGCCTCCTGGGTTTACGCCATTCTCCTGCCTCAGCCTCCCGAGTAGATGGGACCACAGGCGCCCGCCACCTCGCCCGGCTAGTTTTTTGTATTTTTTAGTAGAGACGGGGTTTCACCACGTTAGCCAGGATGGTCTCGATCTCCTGACCTCGTGATCCGCCCGTCTCGGCCTCCCAAAGTTCTGGGATCTAATATTCCCTTCTGAGTCCTACTTCCCTTTACCTCTGCCTCCATTCAAGAACCAGCCACTATAACAGATCTGCTATGTATGTAGTCTGTGTTTTTATAGTTCTATTGTGTATTTATCCAAAACAACATAAATATTCTTTTGCTTATGCTTAAATTTATTGTGTAACACTTGCCATTTGCCCATTATTGAGATCTAGCGATGTTAATAAATATAAACACAGTTTGTTCATTTTAACTGCTTTGTATTATTTCTAATATTCTTTCATATAATACTACACAACATTATTTATGTATTCTGTTACCAGTGAACATCTGGGGTGCTTTCAAAACATTTTTCTTTTGCTGTGTTACTCATAATGCTATGTTGAAAATTTCACACGTATCCCTTTGTGAGCATGTGTGTGAGTTTTTAGACTATAACTAGAATTATATTTATATATATGCATTTATATATTTCTTGTGTCCTGTTTTTTCTAATGGTTTTAAAGTTCTCTTCATATTTAGTACTGTAAATCTATATAGAGTTTAATTTTGTGAATAGAGTGAGGTAGAGATCTAATTTTTCCCATATATTAAATTAATTGTCCCAATACCATTTATTGAATTTGTTTCTTCATGATTTGTAATGCCCCTTTATCATATTTCAAGTTCCTAGATACACTTAGGCCTGTTTATAGACTTTTAATCTATTCTCTTTTGTTTTATTGATCTATTTTTCCTTGTGCAAGCACCACATTTTAGTACATTTTGATAATTAAGTCTTATGTGAACTTTCTTTTTAACTCTGTTTTAAATGACCTCCACCGCCCCCATATTTTCCCTAACTATATGATATAAATCCTTTTTTTTTTTTTTTTTTTTTTTTTTGGAGACAGAATCTCGCCCTGTTGCCCAGGCTGGAGTGCAGTAGTGAGATCTCAGCTCACTGCACCCTCCGCTTCCCGGGTTCAAGTCATTCTCCTGCCTCAGCCTCCCAAGTAGCTGGGATTATAGGCGCACGTCACCACGCCTGGCTAATTTTTGTATTTTTAGTAGAGATGGGGTTTCACCATGTTGGTCAGGCTGGTCTAGAATTCCTGACCTTGTGATCCGCCCACCTTGGCCTCCCAGAGAGCTGGGATTATGGGCGTGAGCCACTGCACCGGGCCGGATATAAATACCTTTTTAAAAATCATTGTAAGAACTTAGTTTTTTACTAATGTTGCATGATCTTATATAGGTAAACTATTATGTAACCAGTCCCTTGTAGTTTAACACTATTCTTATGAGGTACTGCTTCTCAGATTATAACTGGGGATGTGGTCCCTGCTTGAGTGCCAGTGGGAAAGCTTGTTCCTGAGATGGTGGAGGGTTCTCATGGCAGGTGGGCTGACTTGCCTGAGGTACAGAGGGCCTGTGTGGGCTCTTGGCTCACAGCTGCAGCAGCTCTCTGCTTCCCACTGCTGGTGAGTGTGCAGGACAGCAGGTGAATTTCTTTTGGGAGAGGGCAGTTGTAGAGGTTTGAGATTTGTTGTCAGTGAAGATGATATTTTAAAAAAGCATTTTAAAGAGGATTCTACCTATGTACCTTAATTCGTTTAAACATCATTTTATGGCCAAGTACACTGGCTTATACCTGTAATCTCAATACTCTGGGAGGCTGAGGCGGGATGATCACTTGAGGCCAGGCGTTCGAGACAGGCCTAGGCAACATGACAAGACTCTGTCTCTACAAAACAAAACAAAACAAAACAAATTAGCCAGGCATGGTGGTGACTACTTGTAGTTCCAACTATTCATGAGGCTGAGGTGGAGGGATCCCTTGAGCCCAGAAGGGAGCTTGAGGCTGCAGTGAGCTATGATCATCCCAATCTGGGCAACAGAGTAAGACTCTGTTTCATAAGTAATCATTTTATGTGTATTTTCTGCAATACTTGCCTCTTATGCTCCTTCTAGGAAGTTATCTTCATACCCTTCAATATTTTTTATCTTTCCTGTTTTGTTTCCATTCTGAAGCTTAGTAATTTTGAGGTCTCGTTACTTTTGTATCACGTATATTCTTTCTAGTTATTTATGACTGTAATTATTTTCTAAAGCAGAATTAGGTTCAGAGACTGAGGACGTGGTGTTTTGTCATGTTTGTATAGCTGGTTTCCGAGAGAGGGTTTGGATCTGCACTTGATTCCTCCTGAGTAGTTATCTCTCCTCTATCAGATTACCTCTTCTATCCACCCTTTCACCTCATTTTTGTTAGAATGACTTGGATTTAAGTGTCATTATTGTCTTTCTTTAAGGTGGCACTGAAGATGTGTTCTTTTGTTTGCAACGTTTAAATACCGTGGTTTCCTCCTCATACTGCTCTAGGTTCAGCTTTACCTAGACTCTAAGATCCTGAGGCATTTATAAAAATGAGTAGTATGGTTAAAAATTAATTATTAGTATGTTGATAATGAGCTTTGCAGATTGTTTCCCCAAAAAAAAAACATTTGAAAGGTTCATAGGTTGT